TTACCTTTTCTGTCCGACTAGTTGGGTGATACTAAAACAATTAGACCCTTCGCCCTCAAGGGCCACGGGTCAATATCCCATTCGGCTTCGCCTCATGGGCTATTGACCCGTAGCCCTTGCGGGCTACGGGTCTAATTGTTAATTAGTCGACGAGTTCCGACACGAGCCGACATACGATGCAAGTTTACTTAATGAAACGCAGTACAGGCCGAATTTGCTTGGTACGAGAGCTATTTTGTAATGTTACTTATCACTGCGCCGCAATCCCTGCCGTTCCGCACGGAATAAATTAACAGAAAGTTCTAAGACTATGATTAGAATTTGTCGATTTCTACGTAGAAATGAAATTTGTCCCCTAAATCGATCCAGTGTTACCTTTTCCCCTCAAGCGCACATAATAATTCGTTATTTATCTCTCTCTCTCTCTCTTATTATTATTGTTATTATTTTAGGCAATGGAAACAATTCTATGTTGTACTGCAAGAAATGTCACTTCATTTCTACAAAGATCAGAAGACCGCCCGAGCGGTGAGTACTTGCATTAAGTTCATTTCCCTTGAAAGAGAGGCCATCATTACAACAAGTTTGAACAAACCAGCTCGTCAAGGGCTTTGCCATCTCACATCTTAAATAATGATGGTTATCAGCTGTTACGTACAACCTCCATGTGATAACAATTCGTATTTACCTTGCCTTATTAGGATCACGAGTCTGCTCACTCACTACCGACAATGGACGGCTCTGTGGAGAAAGCCACCGACTACACCAAAAGAAAGAACGTCTTTAGATTCAAGTAAGTTGGCTGTCTGGCTGTCTGTCTGTCTGTCTGACTGACTGTCTGACTGTCCGACTGTCTGACTGTCTGTTTGTTGATGTTGTTGTTGTTGCTATTTTGTTTGCTGCTGTTACAATTTCATCTACGCCTCATCGTGAGTCAGCAATTCATTTTCATAACAAAAAAGTTAGAAGGCAGGTCGGACCACTTTTGAATCATAATGTGATGAGATTTGTGGCTATTTTCACTAGTACTGTGCTCTCCTTGCTGTAGAATCATTTTGCTGAGAGAGGCTCTCGCAGGTGAAAGTGACGTGAGGTGTTTGAATTACAGCTTATTTCGTCTTTTTTTGCAGGACAAATGCTGGTCAAGAATTCCTTTTCCAAGCAAAAGACGAGGTATGTATTCAGTACATGGTCTTACAGAGTACCACATGAAAGTACTTATCAATAGCTTTCGTTTGAATGCTTACACACCAGGGTTTCATAACCAGACTTAAGAGTTAGAACCACTTTGTACAGAGTAATAAACAATACCAAATGAAGGTATTTCTCAATAGCTTTGAATGGTCGCACACTAGGGTTTCATCCGCAGAATTAAAAGTTAGAACCACCTCGTATAGCATAATAAACAGTACCACATGAAAGTACTGCTCAATAGCTTTCATTTGAATGGCCACACACTAGGGTTTCATCCACGGACTTAAAAGTTAGAACCACCTTGTACAGCATAATAAACAGCACCACATGAAAGTGCTGCTCAATAGCGTACATTTGAATGGTCAAAAACAAGGCTTTCATCTACGGAATGTAACGCAGTTTAATCTCAACTTCTTACTACTTGCTAAAATTTGCTCACCGTCTTACTTAGGATGATATGAACCTCTGGATTAAACACATTCATGAGAGTTTCAGAGAAGAATCCGCTGGTAAAGACGTCTCTCCTGGAAAGAAGACAGAAAAACGCGGCGGCAGTGGGATTTTCGGCAAGCGAAGAAGCAAGAACTTAGAGAAAGAAAAGGAGGAGAAGAAATAAAAGACACTTAAAAAATACACTAGGTTACAAATTATGAACATCTGTGAAACACTCAGTTAATCGCAGTATTTAGGAGTTTCATTTGTAATGGAGCGTGTTTAAAAATTGTTCATTGGTTCTCTGGTACGGTATGTTGTTAAAACCGGAAAAGCCTGTTTGTGAAGTTTTATTGTGTAACGTTCTCTTGCCAAGCAAAAACAAACTAAGAAAGTTGTGTTTGATTCTGCGCAAAGATTTTGTTTCCCGTTCAGTTGAAGGAGGCAATAGACCAAAGTAAAAATGGACAAGTTAATGTCCAAGAGATCAACAGTTATGCATTGCAGACGATCGAAAATCGCTTGAACAAAGAGAGAATTGCAAAGTCATTAGAATGGGAAGGCATTCTTTTCTAGTTGCTTGTTAACCGGAGAACCAAGTTTATTAGTTAAGCAATCCCTTGTTTATAGGTGTGCTTTGTTTTGTCAAATACGGTCTTCTACAGACGGGGGAAAAAGGTGAAATTGGATTATAGGTATTTTTCATTTATTTTAGGTCCTTATATTTTGTGTTACACCTGCCCTAAAACGAGTAAGACTTGAGGGTTAATTAGACAAGAAATCTCCATTCGTTTTGTTCTTGATATTATCTCTCTGCGCTAAAAGAATGAATTAAGAAAAGTGTTTTCTCAAGCAATTGATAAGCAAAGATATAATCTTGGTTACATTGGAAACAATTAGAGTAAAGTTGATTTATACTCCTTTCTGTTTGTTTTCTGTTGATTCACCTTAAATTGTGTAGTAAAATATTGTCATCAGCGTTGAGCTGGTCATAAAATGTGAGAAATAAAGTTAAATAACGTCAAACGAAGTGACTTTGATCCGTTTCAAAAGAGGGTTACGAGGAGGAATTCTAAATCTCTTGTTCTGATTAAGAAAACATTAACCGCGATGTGATGGTTTTTACGAAACACCAAAGATAACAAGGAACCTTACGGGAAATGAAATTGCAGTGAATCGCATTGTTCGCCCAGACCTTGAAAAGTCCTTGAAAATTGCTCCTGGAAAATCGGTGAAAATGAAAACTGAATGTTGTGTCTATCCATGGAAGTCCTCGAATTCTCACCAGTAGTCTAAATTTTGGTGACGAGTGGAATGCTTGAGACTTCGGGTTGAAATAGCATTGTTAAATGGCAAGGTCGGCGAGTCCCATCCCGCTGTGTGATTGGGGTTCGGAACTACCCTCTGTATCCCGTAAGAATAGTTTCTTCGTGCCACCATTTAAGTAATCATTTCTTCACTAAAATCTCTTGCGTTTTGATCGGTATCTTGTGTTGATAGATTCCAAACATGCTGGATGTGACTCCATTTCCAGAATGGGTATCCTGTGTTAATATTCCAAATGTGTTACAACTAGCTCAAAAAGGCGCTATATGTTCATTCATCTTCCGCGGTAATTTTGATTTGTCAATTGTGTCTGTCATTTTAAACGTTCCCATGGCAACCGCAAATTTCATGTAGCTTTGACCAAAAATCAACTTTTTTGACA